TTCGGGTTTGCTAATGGCGAATAAAGTTGTGAACGTGATCACCATCCCTTGGTTGCCAAATAAATCGATTTGCATTTGGATGAATTACCAATCTTCCAAAACACATATCCTAACAAGTTTAACTTTCCCAAATCAGCATCTTTTGCTTTGTTTTGGCTTGTTGCTTGAGTCTGTGCTTTGTACTTTCAACTGGTTCAGTTCTGTGTGAATAATGTGGAAAAATTTAAGGCATCATAAACTGTAATAATAGCCAAGTGCAAGTGGGAGTTACTGTAGGGCATTCAACATTCACACTGCATACCGGTTGCTGTAAATTTCCAATGCCATGTCAAAAGGGTTGGGAACTTCATACTCGTAGTGCAGTTGCTGTAATTGAGATTGGAGGGGACTTGTAGTGTAGTTGAATTTGGACCTTTCTACTTCGTGCACTGGTTCAGTGACTCAGTGCAGCAGACAGAATCAGCTTTTCCAGGCTATATAAATCGGTAATGAAAAATGCTAAGAGACTCTTTCAAAGTGAAGTTCTCTGTCATTTCACAGTTTAACATTAATTTTTATGCCAACGGATGAAACATAAAGTGACAGAGAATTCGTAAAAAATCTTTTTAAGAAAGACTCCTTAGCATTTCTCATTGGTAAAAACAGAAATGTCTAATCTATCATTTAGGCTAATAGCAGGAGAATGTCTTAGGTACGTATAACTCAAAAGTACGCGGAGAAAGTTTAGATTTAAAGATAAATTCAAAGTACAATTGCTATATTCTCTCATGCCTAGCTAGTTTATGACAATGATAGGGTTAGCGGTGATGATTTCCAACTCTCTTTAATTTTTGGGCGCATTTCTTACTTATTAACTTGATGGAAACTTCTTACATAACGGGTTTTTCAACAACACATCACTTTATGTGTGTTTACAATAATCTCCCAAGCCATTTTGCACACCAAATTTTCATTTTCTGCAAACTTCTTTTTATCTTCTTTTATACAGTAAAGGCTCTCTAAAGTTACACCATCGGACAAACCAATTTTATAAATTTAGAGATGTTATTACTGTAGTTAAAAATATTATTTATTGACTTATTTATCCTTAATTAGTGTTGTATTCCCTACATAGGATTCTTTGGGCTCCAAGTATGTTATTTCTTTGCATATTTTTGTACTCATTGACAATTATAACTATGTGGAAGCATGCTTATGATCAAGAAAAATTAATTGTAACTTATTACAAGATGGAGTTTATTCCAAGGGTAATGCGAGGGAGATTAAATTTGAAGATAAAATTTACAAACTAAATGATGTGTCACCAATAGTTATGAGCACGTTTATTCCAATACATAACTGGTCCTAAATTCGAGATTAGCCCGTTATAAAGTATTATTCTAGAGAGATTTACTGTATATTTAATCTCTAAGAAGTAGTGTATAGAATTAGAAGGTGAAATAGTATCTGTAAATCATTTCTTAAATTAATCCAATCCATCTTTCATGCCATCTTTATGCTTTTCATGACAACTTATTAAAACCTTGAACTCCACACTCATACAACATATATTTATCCTAAAAAGCATGATTGCCTAGGTTGGTTTTCAGCTTAACAAAGAAAACACCACCATTAAGCTTCGCATAACTTTGACAGCGACACGAGTGTCCAGCAAGCGTTTTTGCTTTGCTACCAAAAATTGTACCCCAAGGAATCCAATCATACGATTCATACCTAAGCTAGTGCAAAATGGGGCTCAATTGTTGCACCTAAATCTACAAAAAAATAAGGCCAAAAGTTGCAAACGAATAGAATCCATCCATCCAAAGTTTGAAGTTTGTCCAATTACCAGGAAGCACCATGATTGCTCACTTCATCACAACACTTAAACAAACCAGACAGATTCACTAATCACCAAATAATTACAAACTAAATTATACGTATACTCTTGCGTAGCTTAAAGGAGAAGATGGAATACGGTGAAAAATTAAAAACGAAAAGTAGGATGATAATAGGCATGTCCCGTGTGAGTGGTTTGTAGTTCAATTGCTTCAAAGTAATCTAACCCTACATCCGATGTCCCATTCCACCCAAGTTTGAGAATCCCTTTTCCCATAAATTAAGAATAATTTTGAATATCATGATGTCAAAGACAAACTATGGCATGCATTCTGAAAATTTGTGAGGCTATTCCACGAAAGATGTAACAAGTCACAGGTGTAATCAGACTACAAATGGCCTCAATTGTATCCCCCCAGTGTGTTATCCAAGGTTGGACGTACTTAAAACTCTCAGCTATCTTTACTTTTGTTAGGGCTTAAAGGCCGAAAGGGCCAAGTTGGCCTTCCTTCTCTTTCTTATATGTCTCAAAGTACTGATAGATGATTGTAACAGCAAGCAAAATCCCAGTTCCTGAGCCAATTGCTCCCATGAAATCTGCCAGAACAGTCAAGGCACCAATGCACATGCCTCCGAATGCAGCTGCAGTAGGTATGTAGCGGTTTAGTTCCTTCTGTAAGTTTGAATCTTTATGTCCAGGCATCACCATTTGTTGTTCCTGCAGAAATAAGCAACATAAATGTCAATCATTAATGCCCTTGGAATTATATTTTCTATATTTCATCATTAAAGGTCTTGTTTTTTGTGTAAAAAAATGACACGTGCCGTTTGAAGAAGTGAAATGGTCCAAATGCAAAGATTGCTAGCACTCCCTTAACTAGAAACATATTAGTTCATGACGTTAAGTTGTTTGAGAATCAGAATTTAATCCTAGAAATCTCATGTCTTCACATTAATAGTCATCCTATGAGCTCTCCAAAATGACTTTGCAGATTATAAGTAAATCAAAACAAAATAAATAGGATGAGGAAGGCCAAAGTACCTTGAGCTGCTTAGCTACATCTCGGGCCGAAGAACCAGAAACTTCAATCCAAGTTTTTGAGAAGAGTACACAGGCTGAAAGCATGAACACTAGATAGAACAGAGCATGGAATGGATTGGCTGCCATGTCTGCCAAGCTGCGATTAAAACCACATCGACAAAGAAAAAGAAACACTGCTATGAGTACATGCTTTCACACATGAAACATGATAAGAAATGGCTGGAGATTTCAAAGGTTACGCAAAAATATGTGCTGGATCACCTTCCTGGAGCCGTGACATAGTAGGCAAGACCACCAACTGGCATAGATTGACCGGAATATTCAGGCTCCTGCCACTTTCCGAGAATATTCACAAAGAAATTCCCACTGAACTTCCTGTAAAGCAACTCTACGATAAAACAAGTTTGCTTTTTAGCCAAAATGATTCCTGAGATTTGCATAACACATCACTTTATCTGTCCTGGTGAGCAAGAGATGGTACAGTGCAATGATGGCACCTTCGAATTCAGCTCCACGTCCGCTATTGATAGTTGTAGGGCTAAAAGCCTTCCAGATGATGCTTTCACTGCATAATCAAATCATAAGTCAATTACGGCAAGACCATAGATTATATATAGGGAGTTTTAACGAAACACACCCTGTACTATTCACTTTTAACGAAAAATCACATTTTTATCTTTCCCTAATACTATTTACTACACCACATATATAATACTAAAAAGTAAAAGAAATACAGGTTTCTAGCGTACTAAATGTTGATGGCTATAAAAAGGGAGATCCCGGATCCCAAACCATATCCCTTGGAAGAAGTTCATCTCGGCAAATCACAATAATTGCAGCAAAGCAGAGCTGAACTATGATAAGAACGGCATTCCCGACACTACCATTCATACCCGAAAGCACATAAGCAACAGCTTGACCAACAGCAATCAGGATGGCCATCAACTTTTGTGCTCCATTTCTGCAAATTAAGCACGGACCAGGATCCTCTCCTAATCTAAGAATGAGGATCCTCATGACCAAGAGATATGGACCGTTGGATAAAAATCTAACGGTTATAATTATTATAATTTTAAAGAGATCCGCCTGTTTGTAGTCGTTGAATAAAAATCCAACGATTCACAACTCTTGATCATGAGGATCCTCATCCTTAGATTAGGAGAGGATCCTGGTCCATTAAGCACACACAAGTGTGACTTAGCTGCCGCGCTATCGTACATGTCGTGGCGGACGTAGAGTCAGCGTGCATGCACAGTCAGCATCCGGGCACAAATTTCAACGACAAGGTGACGACTACTGAGTCAATCGTGTATTGCCGCGTGTGACTCTCGTTTGAGTAGCGTGACGTGTTCGTTTGTTGCGCTCCCTTTCAATTCCTTTGCTTTCTGGCATTCCATTTTTCATTTTTTTTTTTTTACTTTTCTTTCTAATTGGGCCTTTTTATTTTCTAATAGGCACGAGAACTCTTGGGCCGGGCCCAATCCCCACCTCTTGTATGCTGGGTCCACCCTTCTTGAATGACGGTTCTTAGGGTGGATAACTGGACCACGTAGCTATCCCACCACGCACACAAAACCCTTAGTATTCATATATTTTGGTCACTCACTTCTGCTTCAGTCTGGCCACCTTATACAGGCGTGCAAACTAAAGAATTTCTCTTTACATAGGCGTGCGAACACAAGACTGTTCTTGTATGGGTTCTCCCTACCACGATGATGGTAATCGGTGCTCTTTGATGCTTTTATTTTTTGAACAAACGATATTATCTACACTAAAAGGGAAGAGGTTGACTTAACCTCCCAATGAGTTAAAAATAATATAGTTCAAATTTATCTCTGACAAGAGTCGAACTTAAGACGTCTTAACAATTGATAGTCGAGTGCAACCGCGTCCAGGCCTTTTGGGGTTTTTTTGTTATGAAAGGGAGTTTTAAGAGCTTAATGTTTTGGAGATATAAAAAGTCCCATTGTCTTGGTCCCAAGAAAATAAAGGTACCAATGAATATTAAAGGTGCCTGTGATGCACAACATGAGGACTAACATGGCACGGCATCACGTGCCATGTAAGTTGTTCTCTCACAACTTACATAGACGTGAAATACACATCCTCATCCATCAAAAAGAAAGGAAAAGGCGAAAAAGAGTTATAACATGCCTGTTATTCCATTAATCTTTCCAGCATTCAACATCTTTACAAGGTGACCTGCAAGTGCCTATAAGATGGGTAACTACACCCTAAATTGACTTACTACTCCCCCGTTTGTGGCAATGGGGTTGCCATCCTAATTGGAAACTTCGTAATCCCTATGCGCTTCTTCCAGCAGAGTTATCCCGCATGCAGATTTATCAGCTATAGCGTATAAAAGTCAGATGTAAGAACAAAACATGCTTCCTTGGCTTACGCTGGCAGCTGAAGCTTTGCATTGTTTTTCCAGCTGCAAAACACACAACTTGTCATGTTAACTATCTAAGAGAGTGAACAAGGATCATTGGCAAGAAGGTGACATATTAGCTACCTGAGAAAATAGTAGTAGAAAAAATCTGCATATAAAGCTGTCTGAACCAGACCGGCGACACACGCTGCAAAATTGTCAAAGAAAACAAGTCAGCCAAACCATATAAAGAGCATAAGGCCCCGCACCCCACAAAGTAAATAAGACTATAAAGGAAAGAAAATATTTGTCCTCAATGGTTCACACATAACTTACCTATCCATCGACTGAAGTGTGGTTCTGTGAAGTAGCGGTAGATCCAGTTGAGAATGTATAATGCACGGTAGGCCCTGCAATATGAAACTGAACTTATATCCCCTGATTTTTTTTCTGAAAAGATGTCACAATCCAAGATGAACTTCACACACAAATGCGTAAAAGTATACCAACTATCAATCTAATCTGGTCTAAACTGCTGTATCTGTTTGTTTGTTTACTTGATTTCAAATTTTCAATATATTCAGCATTCATTCAAGGAAGCAAGAAACAAAATCACTTCTACAGTAACCACACACTAACTTGGGGACCAATCTTAAAACCACGTATGTGTAAAGGAAATGTTATGCTGTGAAACAAAATATATATTTGCTTCGATGTCTCAGAATCTAACTTCTATAAACTATTCCAACTTGCCCAAGTCCCGACCATAAAAGGTAGATTCTGTGACATCAACGAACAAATTCATCTTGCAAGCAAACAAACAAGCTACCACTACGAACCAGTTAGAACTTCACCAGTCCAATTGCCTCTTCTCTTCTATCTTTCCAAAGAAGGGCCAACTTCATAACTTTCGCAAAAGAAGGAAAAGTCATGGTAAGGCCCTCATTGCCAGAGTCCAGAAAGACAATTTGCTTCACCAGCTAACAAGTCACGTGCTTCTTTCCTAAATGTTGTCCCGATTACAAACTTCCCCTAAATTTGAGGTCAGCATCCCATAAATGAAATAGCATACACCCTATAGTTTTTCCCGCAACAAGGATTGCTTTCTCAAATGACATATGCCTCTCTTATGTGATAAAGGTAGCTCTTCAGTCTTCACACTACATAGAGTTAATGCACACAAACACCGGCAGAGATTTCACTAATGTGTTCATCTTGGTTCAAGATTAAATCTATATGACAGCAACTTCACGAAACCTATTAGGCATTGGTTACAAATCTTATATTTTGTATTAATATGAAGGTGATTTCAAGAACATCAAAATTGCACATTATGAACCATAATGTCAAAACAAAATGAGTTCAAAATATGCGACACATATAATCACATTAAACGTAATCAGAGAAACTAGGTAAATGAGTAACAAAATCAATTAAACTTCGCATTATTGACAGCAATCAAAACCAAACCACAAGATATTTCAGAGTGTACAGCAAGTTAGGGACGGATCAGAGGAAAGAAATATATTTACCCAAGAAGGAACACATATTGCCCTGTCAAATTGTCCACATTTCCACTTCGTTGTAGCAAAATTAACTGCGGAATAATAGAAACCGCCTCCAAGTATATAGAAAATGCCCAGAGCACCTGAAAGTAGGTTCAATTCACCATTACAATCATACCCTGGTTCAGGCACACCAATTTCAAAACAGACTAGATGCATCAAACAAGTAGAGAATGTCGAAAAACTTGTCTCACCTCTTGAAACGCGAACTTCTCGTTGACAAGCAGGGCGAGCATAAAGCAGCCAGCAATAAGAAAATAATGCCGGAACGTATCGAGCTCTTTATTGTAAGAACGCTTCACCATTTTGTGCATACGCATACACCAAACAATGGCCAGCGAGCTTCCGATAAACACCAGCTTCATCACAGTGTTATACACAGAAATAAAGTTCGTAAACAGGTCCAAATACCGAGCCAGAAACACCAGGGCATAGAGCTCCTGAGTCTTAAGCGAAATTCCTAATCACAATTAAGTCACTAATCAATCTCCCAAAACCCCAATTTACCAAACTAATAATCGCTAATGCATACAAATTCAAAGAAAATTAACTTAAAAAATCATAATGTTGTTCTCTTGAGCACTAAACAAATCAAAACAAAATCTGGGTTTGCATCACTTTGAGAAATATTTAGGTGGGAAACAATGAAATTCAATTCTCCATGAAAATTTTCCTGCGATTTCTCGGGAAACAAACAGGAAATAGGAAAAATGGGAATTGGAAATCGAGGAGGGAAGAGGTGTGTGTGTATATACCTGAGCACGATTTGGTGGCGTAAATTTTGAGGAGGAGGACCAGAATACTGGCCAAGTGAGTCATGTCGCCGGCCAATCTGAAGACATTCATGGTTGCAACGCAAGATTTTGTGCCCTAGATTTCAGCAGGAGAGAGAGGGGGGCAGAGAGAGAGAGAGAGAGAGAGAGAAAGAGGGGGGAGGAGGAGGAAGGTTGAAAGTGGTGCGAATGTTCGAATAGTGTAAAAGAAGAGAAGGAGAGTTGACGTGGCAGGCTGAACGGCGGCTTTTGTCTACAGCCCTCCACGATGTTCCCAGGAATAAATGAAGAGGGAGTTTGTATCACATGCAGCGCGGACCCTGGGTGGCACCATCCGTCGTCCATCCACGTAATCGCGCCCGTTGAATACAGTACGCGACGTATTTCTTCCATATATGATAATGTCACTCGTAAACATTTCTTAAGACGTCACAATAACGGCACATCAAATTGATGTAATGTATTAATACTGAAATAAAGAACTTTTATAGTCATGTTACCATTATTTTTTTTTAATACAACGATATATTTTACATTTAGGAGAAGAGAAGTTCAGTTAAGCCACACAATAGACAACCTAATTTGGTATCGAATTCGCCATCTACGAGATTCGAATTTAAGACCTCTCACTTACAAGTCAAGAGGAACCATCAGACTGTAGTACTGAGTGGCTAGTCATGTTACCATTATTGGCACTCAAACACATATATAGTTCACCCATAATGTATTCAATTAGGATTTTGAGATATTTGAGTTCTTTTTTATCAAATTAAGGGGTATTCACTATTCAATCAGGATTTTAAGTAATTCTCTAAAAGTGTAGGTGTATTCAATCTTGATTTTAAAGGAGTTTATAACGTTCGAAGTGTATTAAATTAGAAATTGTTTTTTAAATATCTTAAAAAGTTAAGGAATTCGATTAAACTCCATCAAAATCAATAGATTTATAAATCCATTAAAATTTCTTAAAACTTAATTGAATACACCCTTAATATTTTCACCTTTTCCAATAAACACCAGCATACTGATATATAGGGATGACAATTCTAACTGTTAAACCTGATAACCGTGGATAATTATCCGAATGGAAATGATTTGGGTATGGAAGTTTGGGTATATTCTGGATATGGGGAAAACCGTTTGTATTATTGGGTTATGATTTTGGATATGGTTATAGAGGTCCCAAACTGTATCCATAACCGAATCCGACCCGATTAGTAAATAATATAATTTATATACAATATAATAGTATAATATATATATATATATATTTGTATATCCATTATTCACCGAACCATTACCTTGAGAATACAAAAGTTGCATTTTATAGGAAAGTAAAGTTTTGAATCAAAATCAATGTGAACTCGATGGTGCTTATGTGAGATATCAAAGACAAGCCAACATCAACAGTGTTTTAATTTTTATACTCAACAAGATCCATTCAGTGGATCATTTTATACATCAAATGTTTAATGACGAAATTAATATCTACTAACTTATAATGTATTAACTAAATTAATATATTTTTTGTATTGACGAAGATGGATATACTCGTTAACCAATGAGAATTCGTTACCCGGTGGATATGGTTATGAATAATACCGGATGATTAATTTGCGGTTATGAATATGGTTAATTTTCATGATTATAGAGATGGATATAGCATTTCCGTTCCAAAATCGAACCATTGTCATCTGTAATATATATTTAGTTGTGAAATTAGCTTTTGTCCAAATTGTCCCCACCACGCTCTAAATAGTTACTCATGATCTAAGATAACCGAAGAAATTCAAGCGAGGATATATTTATTGTAAAATACTATATATAATAAAAATAAAAAGTCACTACAAATTAAGGTATATTTCATTAAATATTCATGATACGAAATATCATTCATCTTATTTCACGATGTTGATATACATATAATGTACCTCAACTGAGTTCACAGCATTCATGGTCTCCTTTGTTCTTCAATCGGATATCAATATGAGAATGTTCCTTGAGATTCTCCTAATTGATTTATTGTGTTAAATTATATTCATATCATTAATACTGCATGATCACATATCTAATATGCGTTTGAGAAAGAAGTATTGTGCAAAGTTCTTGTTGGAGTGATCGACGATCGAGACTAGTATCGTGCTACTTTCGTAAGTTTGTTGCGTACTCAAGTAACAGGGGCACGGAGGACGAAGCTACCTTCTCGTGTGCATGTCTAGTAGATCGAGCTTTTGTCAAATCCCTTTTGTATTTGTTTGACATATAGTGGATTGTTTTCTGTCTAGTCAAGTGCCCGAGGATTTTCCCAATGGTAGGTTTTGCCTTATTAAATCCTACATTACTATATATTATGCGTTACTCGTTGATTTTATATTCCGTTACAAGTCTGTTTCAATCCTACAATCTGACATGTATGAACGTGTGTACCAGTACTTTCACTTAATTACCACACATTCAACGATTCTTTGAGATGCACTTGGTGAACTAGAAACATAATCTTCAGACCATGCTGTTCCAGCATCACAGTAGACAACCGGTGTCCTAAAATTACTGTTTCATAATACTAAGCAAGTTAGTACATTGTCAAACTTAAGCCAACTACAATTGTCAAATTAAAAATAAGATAAAGTGAAATATAACAAAAGCAAAACATTGTTACGTAGAAAATTAAAATGCGTTGTGGTGTGTAATTGGCTTGAGATACCTCCAGCAAAATATTGGCACGTCCCATGTCAAAGGCAAAGTCAGAGAAGGTTTATTTTCCAAAGCATTATTTTTATAAAGTTCCCATCCTCACATAGTTCACATCAGCACACCTCAGTACAACATACAATCATGTCCATATTTCTACTGAATTCCAAAAACAACAATCCATATCAGTGGAGCCTAACGTCCAATCCAATCCTATAATTGCAATGCACTACTACATCATAGAACACACACATATTGGGAAGAGAGAGAGAGAGTACCCCAATAATTCGTTATAAGCATAAGGAGCTCCGGCGGCAGCAGAAGCAGCGGCTTTGGCTGAGAAATACCCGGAAGAGTGTAATGCCTTGACCGTGGAAGGGCTAGGGTTTTTTCTCAATATATCTAAAATTATAGCTATTTCCGCCATTGTCACACACACTTACACCCTAAACCCTAATCCAAACCCGCAAAATTTACTGGAACCGTTAGGTAACGTATAGGATTTAAGAAAACAACAAAAGAGGATGCGATCTTATTAATTTAGAAGGGGTGGAGACTGACCAGAAGGAAGTGGGAGAGTGTTTGTGGTTTTAAAAGAGAGTGCGACAAGGAAGAGACATTTTTCTATATAAAAAAAGGGAATTGTTATTAGCAAACAAAAAATCTCATTTGGCACTCCAAACTTTTTTATAATTGGAAAGAAAAATACACTTGTGAGGAGTATGAAGTGAGATTTTTGGAGTGCTAATAACAATTCCCTATAAAAAAAAAGCTTGAGATTTTGTCTCTCACACAAAACATGAAAGTTTGGATTTCATTAGCCTTTCTTATGTTTTCCTCTACTTAGTAAAAAAAAGTACTAGAGTCAGTGTTTGACTTGTGTTCAAACTTCGATATCTAGTAACTCTAGTGCTTTTTTAGACAAAAGTTCAAACTAAATGATATGTCACCAATAAGAATAAACACGTTTATCAACGCTTAAATCATAAACCAATGATTAACTTTCATGTCATTTAGTTTACAAAATTTATCTATAAATTTAGTCTCCTAAAGCATTATCCTTTGAAAAAATATACAGAATTTTCAGAAAAGTTGAATTGGGCACAAGCTGCCTCCATCCATGGTGAGAGCAGAGAGGGGTGTGTAGAAGATGTGAATTCTATATTAGGAAATTACTATATAAAAAGCTTTCATAAATTTATAAAGAGTTGAGTCATTATTCTTATAATCAATTAGTTTTTAGTGAAATAAAATTCTATCCCAACATAGGGGACAAAAGAGAATGGCTAATTTAACATAAATTTCATTTAGTTAAGACTCAATTGTTCACTTGTAAAAAAATATGTGTGGGATGGAATTTTTAACCCAATGTATTAGATGATCCACCGATATGAATGGGACTTTCTGATGGAAGAAAGAAGAGAGGGATGGGCAGAGTCTAGTGTGTTAATGCAGACTATTTTAGTGATGAGGGCAGAACGAGAACTTAAAATAAAAAATCTTGGTTTTGGTTGTCCAAAGAAAATTCAAAGGGTGTTTGGGTGTCCAAAAATAAGAACACTCTTTCTTCACTCCATATCCTGATGAGGTAAACTAGCATAAAAAAAAACTTCTTTAAAGTGTGGCTACTTGCACATATATAATGTTGCGTTAATCATTAGATCATATAATAGACGAGAAAATAAGTTTCAAAATTGTTTTCGTTGTCTAGAATAGAACATATTATCAAACTCAACATTCAGCCCGTAGCACCCCTAATATCTTTACAAAAACAATAGAGTGCGAATTAGCCGTCGCGAAGATTCACTTTGGCATGCAATTAACTAATCATTACTTGAAACAAATTTTGAGGAACTAGTTTTTGCATAGATTAGAGATTGCATCACTCCCTAAACCAAAACAAAATACGAAGGCTTGGAACACATGACGATACTGTTGTCCCTCCGGAACTAGACATAAAGGGAGTTTTTCCGATGGATAAAAATGATGCTCTCCACCCTTTTCTTCCCCCAATGGAAAACAAAAATAAAGGGTTAGGAAGGCTTTTAGCAAAGTCAGCTGCATGCACTTGATAAACTGCTTTGGTCAAGATTAAATATTGGGCCCTATATATGTTAGCCATGTAACGACAATTTTGCTCTTGCTTTCTATAACGTTTGTGTATTATGTGCCCACCTAATCATTTGCTTTGGAAGATAACAAAGTAACTAAATTATTCATTGAATGAGACTTGGCTGCTGAAGATTCAGCAGCACCTCCTGCTGCCAACCAATCACAGCTGATACGTATTCAAGTTGTGAATTTTAAAGTACAACTTGGACACGTGTCCAGCTTTGATTGGTTGACAACAAGAGGTGCTGCTGAATCTTTCAGCAGCTAAGTCTTTTCCTTATTTAATTACTTAAGTTGTAAGCAAGCACTTTCACTTTGGTGTCATCAAATTGATTTTAAGTTGGTCTAAGTTTTTATTGAGGTTTGAAGAGGATT